GTTCGGGGTCAACTGCAACACTACGGCGTCGACTACGATGAAAGGGACTTTTCTGGCCAAGGTGCCAGGCTCTTGAAGAAGATGATCTTAGCCGGGAAGGTAAGGGACCTCGCCCCTCTCAATCTCCGGGTCTCTGCAGAGCCTTCAATCGCTGACGTGCATCGGCTAGTGTGACAAAGTCCCGGACTATATCGAGGAATTGAGATGCCAGATGCACACAGAGTGGCTGGAGAAACGATCCGATAAGTCTCTTTCAGGCCATCCCAATTGGCTCATGGAGAAATACTTCGTCGACGGCTCAGGCAAGCCGGATACAGCAAAAACGACCGAGGTCATCGGCATCCCTTTCCCACTCCCATGCAATTACGACCCGGGGCGGCTTCGCAAGGCTGCCGGCCGCGTCCGTGGTCTACACCACGCTACGGGACGTGGCTCAACGCAAACGATCTACTTGGGCTGGGATCGGGGCGCTGTGGAAAGGGCGGCGAAGAGTCACGCCGCAAAGGAATCGAGGGCAGACCAAGCCAAGGCAGATGCACGAGAAAGAGAGAGAGCCTCCAGGCACGAGAAGTATCTAGCTGTGGCTGGGAACCCTGACGACTTTGGTGCCGTCGTGCCGTCTCCAGTTGGCCAGTACATCATCGACTGCGAGTACATTGAGAGGTATTATTCCGGCGATATTGGAAAGTCGGGCTTGACATTGGACATCCATAAAACCTCGACGCCCGGTGTCTATCAGGCCACCTTCGATTTCGGGGTCATCGAGGGGATGATGATGCTGGGCCATGACAAAACCATCCTGGACGAATTCTGTGCACAGGAAGAGCATTCAGGCTCGGAAGGCGAGAGCGAGGACGAAGGTTCGGACGAGGAAACCACTGTGGGCTACAAACGAAAAGCTACCGGCGCACAACCCCGAGGAGGACTCCTCAAAAAGGCAAAGACGGTCGCTGGTAGAAAGCCCAAAAAGTACCTCGTCCGCCTGAAGTCCAGAGATGCCGGCACGGGGGAGATCGATTACGAAACCCAAGAAGGGACAATTACATTCGGCCACCCGAATCTTTCGGTCTTCACGGGAAAAGTCGACATGTGTATTGAGACAGGAGTGACCTTCAAAGCACGCAAGGTCTCGGCCGTGCTAGGAGAGCTGCGTGATTCCTGGAGTAGCTACTCCGAGGCTGAACATGAGTACGCTCGTGTTCATCGTTGGTAGACTACTCATGCCTCGAGTAGGATCTTGTCGGCGGGGCTTACTGTCTACGGGATAGAGTTTACTCTCTTCTCGGTGGGGAGGTGGCCGGACCTCAGATGATTACTTAAATCCTTGTAATGATGCTTCAAATGTGGATTAAATTACATCAATATCATTAATAGAAGCCTAGCTACCTAGGTATGGACCCGCCGCGACACCGTCAAGTATCCTTGCCCACCATTAGTCCACAATCCCCTGGGGCAGAATGGACACGTAATCAAGCGGTGCCGGTTCAAGCCCGTCCGGCTTGCCGACAATCTTGAGGGTGTTCCCCTTCTTGATGTGGACACCCCTGAAGGTGATGCGCGAGGCGGTCTGGCCGTCGATGTACGGGGACGGCGCGCGGCCGAGGATGTACTCCTGGTCGCCCTTCCACTTGCCGATCATGTTGCGGTCGACGTACAGCTCCCAAGTGGAATTGCCGAGGGCCATGTCGTAGTAGTTGACGGCGACATCGTACTTGCCGGTCTTGACGTCGCTCAGCTTGACGCTGGCGGTGGCGGTGGTCGAGTTGTCCTTGGTGACGATGGCGCGGGCGCCGCTGGCGGCCTCGAACGGCGACACGTTGTAGGGCTTGTACCCGACCAGCTCCATGGCCTCGGCCTCGATGCGGTACGGGTGGTTGCCGACGCGCCCGCGCTCGTCCGCGATGCCCGACTTGTTGGCGTAGAAGTTGTTGATGCTGTCGCGCCACACCAGGGAGTGGCCGGCCTGGTACACGAGCCGGTACATGACGTGGTCGAAGCGCTCGGCGTCGATGCCCGGCCGCCCCCGCAGCGTCTCCCATAGCTTGGGGAAGGTCTGTGCCACGGCGCTGCCCGCGTAGTGCGCGTCGTAGAAGTGCTGGATCACCGTCTTGCCCGACTTGAGCACCTGCGTGTAGGGCACGTGGTGGAACCAGAGGAGCAGGTTGTCCGGCGTGGTCTCCACCTTCTCGTACATGGCCGCGATCTCGGGCGGGTATTGCCCCGCGAAACCCGTGCCGTTCCAGACCGTGCGGTCCATACCGATGCTGTCGCCGTCCGCGCGCGTCCACTGGCCCCAGGGGTTGCCGTCCTGGGAGGCCGGGTTGGGGCCGTAGTGACCCAGGAGGATGTCGCACAGCGTCTGGATGCCCAGGTTGCCCGTGTAGTCCTCGTAGGCGGGCCATGACTGCATCGACATCTTGGTGATGACGTCGATAACCTTCTTGTCGTCGCTGAAGGTCATCTTGATCCACTCCTCGAGCATGCCGTTCGAGGTTGCCGACGGGTCCCAGGCGAGACGGCCGTAGGCGTAGAGGTTGGACATGGCGAGGTGGCTGCCCAGCCAGGTCGTGTTGGTGCCGACGTTGACCACACCCGCGTAGCCGCCGAGCTTGCGGTTGAAGCGCTTGCCGTTGAGAATGTCAGAGGTGCGCGAGGGCTTGCCGTCAACGCGGAAGTCAAAGTCGAGGATCTCCTTCCACATGGGGGCGAGGTACACCAGGTGTGCCTGCTGGCCGAGGTACTCTTGACTAATCTGCAGCTCAATGGCGGACGGGGTCTTAACCAAGTGAGAGAAAAGCGGGGAAACGGGCTCGCGGACCTGGAAGTCGATGGGGCCGTACTTGATCTGGATGACGACATTGTCCTCAAACTTGTCGTCGAGACCGTCAAAGTAGTGACCGGCGGCATTGGCGCGGTCGGCCTTCCAGTCGAGGGTCTGGTTAAGGGACCTGTGGTCGTAGACAAAGGCGCGGAACAGAATGATACCACCGTGGGGCTTGAGGGCGTGGGCAAACATGTTGGCGCCATCTGCCAGCGTTCTGTTGTACGTCATGGGACCGGGTTGTCCCTCCGAGTTGGCCTTGACGAGATAGCCGGCCATGTCGGGGATCCTCTTGTAGAGCTCGTTGGTGATGTCCTTCCACCAGTTGGCAACAGTCTCATCCAGGGGGTCGAACGTGCTGAGGCCGCCCAGGGTGTTAGGGGCAGCAAAATTGAGCGAGACGCCGAGCTGGACACCATACGGCCGGAATACATCCGCAATCCGCGCCAGGCCGTCCATGTTCTCCAGGGTCAAGGTCTTTGCGTCCGCGTTGACGTTGTTAACAATGACAGCGTTAAGGCCGATGGAGGCCAGCAGGCGGGCATACTGGCCAGCCCGGGTCAGATCATCGCGGATCTTGCCGTCCCAAAAGAAGATGGAGTCGCCTCCATACCCTCTCTCCACGCTGCCGTGGGTGCCGCCATCTTGCATGTTGTCCCACTGGTTCACCCAGCGGATTGGTGCATCGGGGTTGGAGGTGACGGTGAAATCGGAGGCGTTACCCTGAGCGAGCAGGGAGAGGTAGTGGAAGGCGCCATACAGGGCACCGCGCTCATTCTGGCCGAGGATCAGGACGTTCCCCTTGGAAACGCTGAGGTAGAAGCCATCGTCGACTAGCTCCGGAAGGCGGTCTGCAGCGCCGGGGTTGCTGTCGAGGTATGCAGTGACGGTTCCGACGGTAGCCGTAGTGTCACGGGGGGTCTTGCGGGTGCTGGCTGTGTCGAATTCCAGCTTCTTGCCGAAGATGCCGCTGATACCTTCGGAAAGCTCCTGACCTGCTGTGTAGACCGGCGATCCCTCGGTCGCGTTCAGGGTGACGATGGCGGAGGGGAGCTTCTTGTGGTAGCCATTCGCTCCCTTGATCCGGGCATACCGCAGCCAGCCACTGAGACCGTCTTCTGCAGCAGCGAAGCCGATGGCCGCGAGCAGCAGTAAGCTCCGCATGATTGTGAGGTTGGGCGCGGCGTCGAGAGGTGATGCTGGCGTGCCATGTTGACTTGCTGAGGGATCGTCCCCCGTTGTATAAATACTTCCCGGGACACTGGAATCGAGAGTAGCATCGCCCCTGCCGCCAAGCGATTGATTTCCACACTTCAATTTATCCTAAATCTCGACCTTGGTTCCCCTCTGCCAAGATCAGGAAATGGACCCCAGTCTTCGTCCCCATGATGTTTTTCCACCCATAGAATTTCTCCGCACGAGTTGGGGAACCGGGGAAGAATGGGGTTGTGCGGGGAATGGAGAAGCCCCGGTTTTTGGGACGCCTTCCATTTGCTTCCCAACCTCTCCCCGTGGTAAGTGGGCCGGTGGGCCGTAATGACGGCTCTAACCGTTAGTCACGACGTCCATTCAGCCTGTTCTTGTGCCCAAGAAAAGAGTGCTCGGCAGGTGACACTTCAGTTCACGGTGGACGGCTCATTCCGAGGTTTCCCATCGTGGGACTGCCAACCCTAGGCGAGCATCGGTTATTCGCAAGAACATGCGGCCCAGGTACCAAAATCTGGTAATGTGACAGTCTTGGAATGTCGTTTTTGGACATGCATCCTTAGCGACCTATTTTCGAACATCGGGCGGTACACAAAAGATTCCGGCACCGTTGTGGTTCGGTTGATTGACGGTTGGTCCCTTTCATCCCTGGGGGTTGTAGCCTGGTTCTTTCTCTCTCCGGCTACCCGCTACCGAACTGGAAATCTGACAGCCGAGCTTTAAAACCCAACCGTGTTTCCTACGGTGAGTCCGTCCGCCTCACGTAGACAAAGCGTAGAGATGCCATTGCAATACTACTCATGTTTTGGGGAGTCGGGTATGAAGGTGACGTTACGTTGCGTGGCAGAAAACATATTGCACATCCATTCACATATAAAACCGTTTTCTGGCAACCCAAGGACCGGCGGCACCCAAACCCCACAGGCAGGAACTAAGACAGAGATTTGCTAAAAATATGACATCAAAAAGCTGATGGGCGACCCCGGAATCGAACCGGGGTTTCTTCGGGCTCGCATATGGTAGAGAAACCACAACGAAGCGTCCTGACCACTAGACTAGTCACCCTTTAATTGATGTTCCGCCACTTTTTTAGTTCACTTGATTAACAACCGACGCAACCACCCCAATGCGACCACCCTACCTACCCCCTGAACTTATTTCACTTTTTATACTCCCCATGTTGTACAGTTCCAGGATTGTGCTGCACATTATGACCATGCTGGTCGGTGAAGAGGACCTAGAACCAAAATTCAGTTCATCAAACCTGTTATGAAGGGAAGGGTTGATGACGAAAGTGAAGAGCGTGTACCTTGGGTGGATGCTTAACACCCTCCTTCTCGGCCTCCTCCTTGGATGTAACAATCTTTTCGACATCGCCTTCGTGTCTGCCACCTCGCGAACGGGCAAAGACATGATCACCTTCGCGAATGGCTTCTCCTTTCTTGTCCTTGAGGTCAGAGGACATCTGGGCGATACTCTTGGGTAGCAGAGAAATTATGTGTTTTGGTGTTATTTATTTTGCAGGGTTATCTAAAATTTCACGATTTATTGGTGCTCTAAAAATCCAGGGTTTTCGGTCTTGTGGCAATGGACATCTTTTATACTGTTGTCCGGTCAAGGAATGGGTGACGTCATTCGTCGCTCGAGGTTGGATTGCCATGACACGGCCATTTGATGCAAATATCTTTGTATGCTGTACCATTACCATTATACTACTAACCTTGTTAACTGACGCCAGAGCCTCTCTTGTATTGATCTATCCATTACGACTGGCGGGAACGTTGCTCACTATGAAGCAAAGGCCCAAGTGTTGTTACTCTTCATCCTCTCCGTGCCCCGAGCCAGCATCGTCCGCTATGGTCAGCCACGGGTCCTTGAGCAGCTCTTGGGCAGAAGGCCGCTCAGTGTGGTCCCAATGAAGCATGCGCCTGAGAAATCGCAAAAAGTCGGCTTTATCCTCCCCTTCCAATGCCGTTAATTCAGCCTCCAACGACGTCTCGACGATTTCATGTCCTTTCTTGAGCTTCCCTAGGCACAAGTATGGTCAGCCGCAAAGCTCGGGCGCTTATCAGTCATCGACAACAACACCGTTACGACCGACGCGGATGATGACGGGACTTCCTTCTCACCTGTCTTGTCAAAGAAGGCCTTCGTCACCGGAGTCACATCCAAAAGGTCTTGTGGAGGCGGCCCGAGGAGGCTAATCATGCGGGCCATGTGGGGGATTGCCGACTTCCAGCGGCCGCCTTGGTTGTTTGTGAACAAATTTGTCCCCTCAACCAATGTCCACAGCTTACCACACCACGCGCGTTAGCAAATCCGACTCAAGGGGAACTGGCAGTTTCTCGGTCGGCTTACCACTAAGCCCAAGGCCCAGATGTCGATCTTCCCGTCCCACTCGATGCGCAGCAGGATCTCGGGAGCACGGTACAGGTCCGGCATGGCATGTTCACCATATGACTCGCTCCCGAAGCGTGCTTCGCCAAAGTCGCACAAAACTGGCACTGTCGGGGGCGGTAGCTCCAGCACCCTGGTGGAATATATGGCGTGGTCTTTGTAGATTTTGCGCGGGCTGGGTTCCGCCATCTCTGCCTCCTCGACCGCCTGCCACTCGGACGTGTCCCCCACGGCAAACATGATGTTGTCTTCTTGGATGTCTACGTTTGTTGAAACAAAAGTCAGTAACCGGTCAATCAAGTGCTAATGTACGAAGGGCGCATCAAGCCTCCGGAGACACCCACCTCCATGAACAAGATTGGCCCGGCGGTGAAGAAAGTCGAGAGCTTGGAGGACATAGAAGGCGACGGATTTCACCAAATCAATGGGCATTCTGCCTTCAAACACAAGCTTCCTCACATCGGCCAAGGAGGCCCCGAGCGGGTCAAAAACGAGGCAAAGATTGGTTCGAGACGACTTTGGCCGCGACAGTTGGAACTCGTCGAGTAGTCTGCGGACACTGGCGGCGCCAATGTGCTTGGCGTTCTGGGATGCAGCGAACGTCACACTGATATGCTTCAGGGCTGCAATCTCGCGGTCGCTCTGTTGCTCACCCGAAGCATAAACCTTGACGGTGACGTAGCGATCTTGCTGGAGATCGCGACAGAGCCATGTCGTCGAGGCAGCGCCGTAGCCTAGCTTTGTGACAACCTGGTACCTGTTGTGTAAAACCTCGCCAATGGCTGCGGGGTAGAAGTTCTTGACCGAGTACCAGGAATGTGTTTCCTCGTCGAGCTTGACAGACTGGGCTATCACCTCGAAACCCGACGACGGGAACACCCTGGGTGGCGATTGATTCTGCAGAATCTCGTCGGATGGCCCAGCGTCGCGGTTATCTTTGGCTTCGGCGCCTGCCTCGGATGTAGAGTGCCGGTGTCGGCGAAACAATGATGTTAGAGATTGCATGGTGCCTGCTCGCCGAAAATGATGTTTTAGAGAACAGATTCTGAGGAAACCAAAAACATACTGTGTGATGTTGTTTGTTGTGGCCGCGTTTATGTGCCATGAAGTTGGGGAGGGACGAAGTACGGAGGTTTTGGCGAAGGCATTGGCCAATGTTATGCATACCCCATCTCTTGCTGGATGTTGCGCCCAATCACCTGCAGCCCAGCATCAAAGCCTCAGCAACAATTTCTCACGCCGCCCTTCGCCGCCCGCTGCATCATCGAATCGCATGCGATCAAACTCAGTATCTACTAAGCTTACCCACACCTTTGACTTGCTCAACTTGCGTATCGTCCTAGAAGGGCGAGCGATGAGCACTAGCATCATTAAACAGTATCGCGACATGGAATTTAATGGCGACCTTGGTATATCGTGTACTTGAAGCCGTCATCCCCGCGAGGCGGCTCCAGACCTGAACTTCCTGTAAGTTCAGGTACGGTGGGCCTCTCGTATCTGTTTTTTTCCTACTCCACGCCCCAAATCTCTATTACACAAACTAGTAACTCGAAACGAACAGGATGAATCTGTGTTTGGCTCTCGAAACACATTATGCACCCTAGGAGCGGCGTCAACAGCCCTGTGCCGCAGTTCTCGGGACTTCCGGCTCTCGTCTTGTCCTTGCTGCTATCTGAACGCGATTCCTGGCGCCAAGTGTTGAAGGTCCCATGGCCCAATCACACCCATTCCACCATGCGCATTCAGGATGTGATCGGCGGTCGGCTGTGCCAAATATTGTGTTGAGGAACTGAGTGAGTGGAACCGAACCACATCCATCAACAGCTCGCCGCCAACAGGCCCAGCGCCCCAGCCTAGTATCACCAAACCTGTACTACTGTAGCAAACGGGGTTTTAGAACTGGACGGTCTCATCTGCGCCGTTCAGCGATCCGGGCTGACATCATCTCCCCCTTTTAGGCATATTTGGCACGAAGATGGCGGCCAATCTCGCCTCCCCGCAAATGATCCTATCGTTACCGGCACCGCTTCCCATACTTACCAGACAATCCAAACCATCTGAACCTCCATCACGACCCATGGCTCCACCAGACCTTCCTGCCATGGCGTCCGCCGTGGCCACGTTTCAGCCGCTCGTGCCCCCTTTTCTCCTATCTACCTAGGTTCAAAGACGCGACGCGCGAGAGAATACGCACAGTCTCCCTTTCTCCCAGCAGTGTTTACCTTGTACCCATGGAAGTACCTAGGTACCTTGAGTTCAACCGTTCCCAGTTACCAACGGGGTGGCCTCCCGGCATAAGTCCTGTCTCATCCCACAGGATGGCGGCGATGGCCGACATGTTGCAACACCATCCGTGGCATACGGCCATCCAGTTCGACCCCAACCTATTCTTAGACGTAGATTTTGACTCCGAATACTGAGTCAAGCGTCATGAGCTATTCCTCGGAGGGAACTCGAGTGGTTTTAAGGGCAGCTCATTCCCTCAACTTTTTCTTTTGTTTATCAGCATCACAACCACACCTCTGGATCCCAGCCTTCAACCATCAGCCTGCAATCACCAGCCCCCAGCCTTCAGTCTCTAGTCGTCAGTCTTTCAATCAATCACCAGGTCTCAGTCACAAGTTTTCCGTGTCCCCAACCTCAACATGTCTTCTCGTGGTAGCGCCCGCGGGTCCACCCCCGATATCAGCAGCCTCGAATATGATGCTAGAGGCACCCAACCTGAGCAGCTCGAGGAGCCATTCAGAAGCCATATCACCAAGAGCCTGGGTAAGAAATGGAAGGCAACATATCAAGGTGTCAAGAGGGCCTTTATCAAGTACGTGCATCACATAACCAAACTGACTTGGTCTGGGAAGGGAGCGAGCTAACGACTTCTTGTCTGTAGGGGTCAAGCTCACCCGTCCAGCTCGGCGCCCGAGCAGGGCAAGGTGGTTTCCATCCGCTTGTTTAACGAGGTCGGCAAGAAGGTTGTGGAAACCATCCACGTCCTCGCTAATGGAACCTATGTGGCCGGCAAGGATTTCTACAAGAAGAAGAGGGACGAGAAGAAGTGATCACAAACTTCGGAATCTGTCATTAATATCGTTGTGCTGTGCACCATAGGTAGTTCTAGATTATATCGTGAACGCTGCTGGACAGCGCCGCGCAATAGAGCAACTTAAGCTGGCTTAGGCTCCTGTGTTTGCGTCAGGTTGTTCAAATCAGGTAGGTTGTTAGGTAAATCTCCCTATGGGAAGTAGCTGTTGACGGAGCCCACCATTCTTTTGGGACAAGAGCATTTACAGCGAGTCTTTATTCGACCCTTACCCACCTAGACGCGGTATTTCCATCCTACCTTAACCTCAAATGTGTCTCAAAGGTTTGCATTTGCGTGAGCACCCGGCCGTCATGTGTTGAAGATGCCTGACAGGTCCGGCCCGAGGATGTATTAGGGGAAGCGGACCGGGGGCTTTGCCTCGGAAAGCAACCTGCACGGGCAGTCTAGTATACTAGTGGAGGCATAGTATACGACGTAGGCCTCCCTAGCGTTGCATGTCTACGGCTGATCTCTCTCGACTTAACTCCCGGGGCATTTCCAGATGGATGCGAGGAGAACCCAGGCCCTGCATTGTGCCGCAAACGTACGGCCGACCCTTTACGCCACCCACGTCTGAGTCCAATGCCGA